CCCTCTCTTTCTATATCTGCCTCATTCACTTCTCTCTCTAAGCCCCCGTCTCTCCTCCTTCTATCTCTCCCTCCATCTCTCCCTCCTGCTCTCTTTGACATGTCTCTGTGTTTCCTGTCCTTTGTGAAACCCTCCTCTCTGTCACATCTTGTTTTCCTCATTCTATCCTGTTTTAATCCAGTTCCCGCCCCCTTGTACAGCAGAGTCACGCTATTGGAGGAAATGGGTGAATAGTGGCTGCTGAGTGACAGGTTATTCTGGGCCGACTGTGGAGGTAAACACAGCGAGGTAATGGAGGTAAACGTCCGGTCCGTTGGCAGGGTGGTACACAAACAATAGGCCAGAAGGTTCTGGCTGGGCAGTGACACAGTCGGGACTGCTGCTGCCTCAGAAAACCCACACAAATTATTATATGAGGCTTGTCTCCTATTATTATTATGTCTAAGCACCTGAACACTCATTGGACATGCTGGAGTGGTCTGCAGATACATCCACATGAATGAGATCATGGATTTGGTGCTGCCTTCCTCTGGGTGCATTATGTCCTTCTGATGATTTAACAAACGATCAAACAGTTTTCGTACTAACATAAGTACGGCACTTAAGTCAACTTACGTATACACTACTTGAAAGACATTCTTTACTTTGGTTTGGTGAATGGGTGAATGGAGGGATACATTCACCCATCATTATTTGAAGCTCAGGGCCTCTGATCTACTTTGAACTGAGCACAGTATTTGCCACTTAGCTAGGGTTAGGGTTAGAGAGGGAGCAATTCCATTTCCTTTTCACCCAACCCTACTAAATTGCAACATGGTGGCAACATAACTCTAACTGTAAAACGTTTTCTAGTAACATAATGTGGAAAATGTTGTTAATTAGCACATCTGACTAGTCAGAGTTGAAGTCAGAGTCAAGTTGAATCTAGCTTTTTTTTTTTTTTTTGTCGGTAGAACTAAGGCTCTTTATGTCATCTGGTTGGGAATATCTCTGAGTTGTAGCTTTCACAGAGAAAGCTGACTGCCCAAATGCAATGCACTACAATCTCTCATAGGAGGTCCATTTTGAGGATTTTATTGAGTTCTTCCAACAAAAGTAAACAAGAGGGAAGAGGGGCCATGCCATTTAAAATTGTATACAAAATTTTGACAAACCATTTTAATATAATCTAAAACTCTCAAAGCTCAGAATATTTTTAAAATATCTTATTTTCAGGCTTGTTTTTACAAGAACTCTTTTTGTTAATGACATCTCCAAACATGTAATACAATAGGATATGTGGGAAAGGATCATAGCATCATTAAGAACTATCTTGGCCGCATCCATTGAAACACATAATTTGTCTAAATTTTGTCTTCATTGTTTTAACTTTTTTTTTTTACTTCAAATTCAGATTTGGAGCCATCATTATGCCAAGATATTTCAGTTTGGTTACCATATCACCCCTTTCAGCCTTAATGACAATGCCAACGTTCTCTCAACAGCTTTCTCAGTTTGAATCGATCCAGAATTGGAAGTAGCAAATAGCTTCAAGATTTGGGTTTTAATGTGGGGTCTTTAATCATTTAAATAATATCTTTAATCATTTAATTTTAGACCTCTTCGCTTTCCTGCTTTTTGCTTTTTCAAGTTCTTGCAGTTTCTGTCCGCCTGTCATCCCAGTCACTGTACAAAGTCTCTCTACAGGCTCAGACAGAGGGCAAACTGATACTTTTATGGTAAATAAGGGTTGGGTGTGTGTGTATGTGTGTGTGTGTGTGTGTGTGTGTGTGTGTGTGTGTGTGTGTGTGTGTGTGTGTGTGTGTGTGTGTGTGTGTGTGTGTGTGTGTGTGTGTGTGTGTGTGTGTGTTGGTGTGTAGCTCTAGGCCACACAGTGTCACATTTGTGGTCGATGGCTATCTCTGCCTGCATTTCGTGTTATCTTTTCACGTGGGACATCTCAGTGTTATGGCTGGATGCTCTCAGAGACGTAGAGTTACTGGAGATACTGGAGATACAAGCGGAGAGAAAAACATACTGGAACACCTCACAGAATTTGAAAATAATAGAGTAGTAGTCAAGTTCCAATTCAATTAATAGAGTACTCCACCAATTTAGCATTCCTTTATAACACAATGAACACTGTTTAAAAGATATTTTTACTTTTTATTTTTTCTTATTCCTTGTCACCTGCTGTCTACATTACCCACAACACAACTTGACTGCCAACAGTTTGGTTAGAGATTTGGATGCATTATGGTAATAGCAGCTAACCTAGCCATAGCCTTATCTACACAGGGAGTGGGTCCTCTTCTACAGAGTCCGCCATGTTTCTACTTTTTCATGAACTGGCAATGAGACCGTAATGACAACTGTAATATATTAAGCAGCGAAACAGACTTCTATTGAAGTTAGAATTTCATGTTTGAAAAGAGCAGTTACAGAGTGTAATCAGAGGTTATGTCTGTTCTCTAGTTACAAGAGTATTTTAGGGACTTCTGTGTCCTCTGACCCTTGCAATTTTCCCACACTACCAGAGGGAACGCCAATGTTGTTTAATTGACAGGCCAAATATGACTTTCCAGAATTAGGTTATAAACTGTCACAAAACACAGACTCAAACAAAAATAGTGTTAAAATCAATACTTTCTGTCCAGTCTGTCCCCTTTAAAATGAAACTGACATCCATATCCTGTCCTGTCTCTGTCTGGAGGTGTTAAGCCAAGTGGGACACACACACACATAAACACAGAGAAAGAGAGAGAGAGAGGAAGTGTGTGAGGCCCTGTCCGTCTGGCAGAGTGGAAGACGAATCTCTGGGAGGAATGGGACCTCTCTGTAATTTATTCACATGGTTGGCCAGAACAAACCAACTCCTAAAATCACACTGTGTGATCCACACATGCAACAAGATCTTCAACCCAAAATCTGTCAGAGATCATGATTCAGAATGTGAACTGTCCTGAGACATTGTCCTGACTGCAGACAAAGAAAAACAGAAATACAAACTGTGAATGAAGCAATATTGAGTTCCAGATAGATTTGCTTGGGAAAAAAATCCTTTTGCAAAATAACAGCTTGATGGTTTTACAAGCCAATCTGCTGCAGGCGGAATTCTTTCCAGTCTTCATTCTCATAGCGTTAACAGTAGCACAGAAGCTGCATATCCACTGGGCTTTTAGTTACCAAAACAAGTGATTCCTTTAAGTCCCCAAAGAAGGCAGAGCTCAGCCGGACACAGACCTACGAGTTATATGTGTTTGACCTTGCTCAGCTTTTGGTGGTGAACTCAGTAACTGCAAGAAGCTTGTATAAAACGAGTCATTTAGATGAATTCTGAGCAGATTATTTCCTGTTTAGGGAACTTTAAACAAATTCTCCGTCTGTATTATTTATATTTTTAAGTCATTTTTAACAATCATACAGACTTAATGGAGAAATTGTTTTCTTCTCCCTGACGCTTGGCCTTTGCTCTATTAGACAGTTTACTTTACTTTTACTTTTCTTCACAGAGGTGAACCAGATGCCTAGATATAAGCCTACTGTGTATATTTTTTAATTTTTATGGCACACCTTAAAATAAAGAAGGCCTTGCGACCCCCCATGGAGTTTTGGTGAACCCTAGAGGTTGTTCCGGCCCCCAGTTTGGGAACCATTCCTCTATACTATAGATTGGCAGATTAAAGGTCCAGTGTGTAACATTTAGGAGGGCTTTGGCCTTCTTTGGCCCTTTCAAGCCTTTTTTAACTCTGACCACAGCCTCCTGCTCTGTTGCACCTGTAGCCACACCAGAAGAGGCTGGTCCACAGGGGCCGAGGTGGTTGCTCCTCCTCTATTTTTGATAGATCAAAATATAAAAAGAGTAGTTGGTTGGTTCAGTATCATTTATTTGATCATTTATAAAACAAACTTTAGAAAAAATATCTTATTGAAATCCTGATTGAAATGTCTCAACAGCGGGGGAGGAAAGAGGGGATAGTGGAGGATGGGCCGCTGTTGAGCCACACCCAACAGTGATTGGCGGTGACTCTCACTTTTTCTTCAGCACGCTGTTAAACTCATTCAGGCCCAGTGAGGTGAAGGTTTAGGGTCAAATAACTTGTTTGGTTGCAATACAAAAAAAATGATGGCTGCTGCTGCTGTCATGTTTTAAACAACCAAACATATCCTGGGTTCAGAGGGTAAAGGAGACGAGGGGAGAGTGAATGGAGGAGAAAGGGATACAGGGGGAAGGAAGTAAGGAGAGACCCCTGGACCCTCTTTGAGTGTTTATATTGTGGTGGTAGGATATCCTGCTACATGATGAAATCATTACAGACCTGCTTAGTCTTGGTTTTGTGTGTGTGTGTGTGTGTGTGTGTGTGTGTGTGTGTGTGTGTGTGTGTGTGTGTGTGTGTGTGTGTGTGTGTGAGTGATCATGCCATGGGTCAGAACCCTTTGTTGAATCGATAGCTGCAGTCTGTGCTGTGCAGATCCTGATGACAAGGAAACAAAAAGGATGAAGGTGGTAGTTCTAAATGTGAAGCAGATATTTCATTTCATCTGCACACATTCAGCTGCTGACATGGGTTTTTATTTTTATTTTCTTATATATATCTTATATATATTTCTTCTATGTTCTTTTGTATTTGTAGTCTTATATCATACCTCCTCCAAAATTGTATTCAGCTTTGTATACTCCTTAAATTTGCATTGTGGAAAACGACTTTGTTTCTAGATAAACTAAATTTACGAATTTCCTCAAGATGATTAGCTCTGTTACTCTATACAACTGTAGGGCACATTATATTGAGAGTTTCCATCATCCACTGCTGACACATGGAGGATGTTGGTGTGTCTCAGCACTTTGAGAAACAGTGACCAGCAGGAAAATCTCCAAATCCTTGATGTGTTCCTTTAATCTTCACTGTTGAACCGTTTCCACTGTAATAAATAAATACAGTCAGATGTAAAGCACAGGAAATAGCATTAGTTCCTGTGGCTGCACTATACTAATAGATTTTACACATGTACACACACACACACACACACACACACACACACACACACACAAACACACACACACACACACACACACATAAGTGGTGATCCAGCACAGATCACCTTTCAGCAGCGCTGCCTCCAAGCAAACGTGGTTGTGTGTATGTGTGTGTGACATGACCCCTCTAGTGGTCTTGCCTTGCTCTCTGCTCCATCCAATAGTGTGTGTGTGTGTGTGTGTGTGTGTGTGTGTGTATCTGAGTCTTAAAATAGTTTAAGAAAAGAATGAGATGATGGAGAAATATGGAACAAGGTGCGAACTACAGAGGAGCCAGGGGGAGCTGGGCTCCTCTTAATAACACATGAGCTCCTCTGAAAACATCATTAGTGATTTTCTTTTTATATAATATTGCCAATATGCCAATTTGGTCATGCATTTCTATTTTTCTGTATCTTTGTTGTCATGGATTATGTGTAAACTTGGGCTACTAAAATGTATAAATGTATTCTATGTATAAAGATTTATTTACGGTACAAATGGACAAGAGAGAAGCATAAAATATTATGTAGTCCTGTTTGTATAGGAACTCAATTTATATATTTTTATTGTAATATATATAGATTTTAAATAAAAGCTTACATAAACACATTGTTATGAATATAATTTGAATATTTATACATGGATTCAGGATCCATTTTATTGTCATTAAGTAGATTTTCACATACAAGGAATTAGCCTTGCTATATTGATATACAACAATAAACAGTGTGACAAAAATATAAGTAAAGATGAACTAGAGACAATAAAAAGAGACAATATATACAAATGTAAAACAGGACAATATGTACAGTGAAAAGTACTAAAAAGAACAGTGGTATATTGCATAACAGTCTGCATGTAGTATGTATTTAGTTAGCATTAATAAGTATGGCAAACATGCAGACTCTGGTGTAATATTATTATGTACATGCTTTGTGTCTGAAGCTGCTTGTCAAGTGATTCATGCCTCATGAACATGCTGTAGTGTTGATACTCAGTCAGAACTGTTGTAACTTGTGCAACAGGCAGAAAGTGCTCTTTATCTTCCCTCACACACACAGAAGCATCATTTTCTGTGTGTGTGTGTGTGTGTGTGTGTGTGTGTGTGTGTGTGTGTGTGTGTGTGTGTGTGTGTGTGTGTGTGTGTGTGTTTTGTACATTCAGTGAGTGAGACTCTTTGAAGTGTAAATGCTCTGTATTGTTGATCAGACAATGACAGGCACACTCATACATTTCTTTGTCCCATCTAGGAGGAAATTTTACATTTGTCACACTCACGTGTGTGTGTGTGTGTGTGTGTGTGTGTGTGTGTGTGTGTGTGTGTGTGTGTGTGTGTGTGTGTGTCCTACCATTTGCGCTCCACTTGCTTAAAGTAACGTAAGGAGCAGAAAGGTGCTGAAAAGTGGAGAGCAACAACATATTCAACAATGAAGCACCCAGAAGCTTACTCACAGCGACATGGAGGTAAAAGAGGAAACCAGAATGAATGGAATGATGAAAGATAGAGAGAGTGAGAGGCTGTGAGTCCTGTGTGTTTGTGTGAGTCTCACAGCCTCGGACAGCATTACGAAAAAATCTTGTTTTCCGTTTCTACCCATTATATTAGGTGTGAGTGGTTAAAAAATATTTTAACTGAATATATGTGTTTTCTGAATAAACTTAAAACTATTCCCTATGAAACTCTCTGCTCTCTGTTTTTCATAAATAATAACTAGCAAGCTTTTTAAAATGAAATGAAGATAAGAAAACAAAATAAGGGACTAATACATAAGACATTGGTGTGCTTTAATATCTCTGCCCTGCTCTAACAGTCTTATAATTAGACTCATTCATACATTTTCTATTGCATTACTTTGTTATTTGAACAGCTTTGATTCATTCACTGAAGACCTGTGTTCCTGTCAGCAGGGATGTGTGCCAGCGTAGTGCTTGGCTGCAGGACTCCTCATATCTGAGTGAGTGCATTTGTGATGAATGTGGACCCATTATTGTGCGGCAATGTCAGTTACTACGAAGATTCTACCTAAAAAACACAAGATAATATATTTTAAAAACTTAAACCTCGCCTATCTAGCCAAAAAGGCTTTTTCATCCAATTTTTCAGAAAGAACAGCAAAAATATATAAATATAAATTTGTGTAGCAGAGCTTTGTTTTTTCTTCCAGAGTGAGTACTTTTACTTTTGATAGTTTTGTTGTTTTTGTACTAGTATTAGTACCGCGTTGCTGGTACTAATACTTGATGTTGTCAGTTTAAGTGGTGAGGAATTTGATGTGTTTTTTCCCTATACTGATATATCTCCTATTCCACCTATGTACCAGTAGTAACATTTAAATGTGATTACTTTACATTATGCACAGTGATTGAGCAGTATATATACCCTGCAATATAAGCATGATACACCATTTAATCTATGCAAAACTCAACAAACGCAACAAACACTTGAGCCCACTGGGTGGTGCTGTATGTCCACGTTATGTTAGGATCTATGTTTCTGTCTTTTAGTTTAGTTTTTGTGTTTTGGAGGAGCATGAAGCTGATTTTACTGTTTGATCAGTGCTAACTCAGGACCAGGGTGTGAACGAGGGGATCCAGTGGGGGCTAGGCTCCTCTCAATAAGACATGAGCTCCCCTGAAAACATGATTTGGTCTCTAAAATACTGACAATATCAGCCCCTCCAGGATTTTGCTTATTTGTTTTGGATTGTTGCAGCCTAGAATGTCTGACTTCACGGCTTCACGCCTTTCTAGAAAATTTAGATTTTTGGGGACGAAAACAAAACTGCAGGGGAAAGTGAATAAATGCATTAAAAATTGAAGGCAACTGGGCGCCCGGTTAGCTCAACCGGTAGAGCTGGCAACCATGTACCAAGTTGTTGCAGTGTCATCCCCTCTCTCTACTCCCCTTTCCTGTCTACTTTCAGCTGTCACTATCCATTAAAGGCAATAAAAGGCCCAAAAAGAACTTTTGAAAAAAAAAAAAAAAAGGCAACTTGTTCCAGTGAGAATAAAATGTTCAACACATCTGCATCTTCAACACTAGAAACGAAGAAGTGAGTTTGGTGATATATGACTCAACATGCAGGAAACCACAATGACTGATCAAATTTGCGGACAGCTTGAGGTGGTTGAACAAAAGTGCAAAGCCGTACAGAGAATTCGCTGTAATTGATGCGATTGAAACTTCCTGGAGGGACTGTAACATCTTACTTTTGCCATGCATTAATATTTTTCTGCATCTTGATGCATGATTTGTGCATGAGGTTGACTCATCACTAATTCACTTTAAAGAAGATACTGTTATTGTTGCCATCACCAATGTCATTAATTTCAGATCAGAAACTATCAGGAAATATATCCTCCCACAACACTGGAAAAGTGAGTTCCCCTGATAGCCTGGGTATAGTTCGCACACTGCGCAGATCTAGTGGGACACTTAACAAATTAGATTTAGAATCAATACTGATTCTCTGCCTAAAGAACAGAAATAGCTGCCCCCCCTTTACGAGGTAAACTGATCAAAGCAGTGACTTGTATCAAATTGTACTAAGGATAAATGATGAAATAATTCATTAGTAAGTTAAATAATATACATTTAAAATAAAATGTTCATATGTGTGTTGCTGATTTTTATTTGCTACTCCATCACTGGTTACTTGCATTGGAAAAATCCAAAACAGCAAAATCAGGCTGAGGCTTTGGACGTAAAACTGATGCTGTCAGCAAAACTGCAGTATTCCTCCTCTCATTCCTCTGTTATTCTCCTCTCCTCTCTCCTTCTTTTCTCCTCTTCACCTCCTCTGCTCCCCTGCTTTTCTTTCTTCCTCTCTCATCGCCTCATCCTCTCTCTTTCTCTCTCCTCATTTATTCCTCACCCAGCCATTGAGATTGTGAATAAAACATGGACGGTGGATTCAGAATACTCTCTACAGTGCTGTCAAAATGATGATGTTTGGGTTCATCTCAGGTCATTGAGAGTTAGCTGCCATGTAAAAACAAGAGTATCCACGGGAGGAGCAAGGTGGCTTCTGGGGCTTAGGCCTTGAATATTTTCTCAAAAGCCCTGAATTTTTTAAAAACATTTAATCTGGGGCTTTTTGCCTTTATTAGATGGGACAGCTCAAGAATGATAGGAAAGAGGGAAGGAGAGGGAAGGAGAGGGAAGGAGAGGAAGGAGAGGAAAGAGGGGGGGGTGACACACAGCAAAGCCCCACAGGTCGGTTGCAGAAAGGACTCAGCTTTGGTACATAGGGTGCCAGTTCAACCAGGTAATAAATAAAGTTAGATATTCTTTAACTTAATCATTTATATACATCATCAACCAATTCTAGTGGACAGCTCAGAGCTGCTTCTTCTCTCTTACTCTGTGCTGCCTGTTGTCACTGCGCACTCTGCTGGACAAACTCTACAGTGACACCAATATGTTACCACAAGCAATTTTTCCTGCATGTTTTCTTATCGGCACATATCGGATAACATAGCGCCGATATGGATTCGATACCATATGCCTTTGACAGGCCAATATCAGCTGATGTATCGGTCTGACTTTTTTATTAAACTGAAAAATAATTACATCAGGCAATTTATGCCCTTTTTTTAGGTGGCAGGAGTGATTTGTCATCCTTAGCATTTGTTGTGTTCTGGTTTTAGAATGATGAATACAGCTGGAGAACAGTTACACTATAAAACCTCATGAGTAAGTTCAACTCAAACTGAGGACACAGATTGCCTTAAACAATTTCAGTGTATTAACTCCAACAATTTAAGCATTAAAAATATTTTATTTGAGTACAAGTATTTCATTTATTTTTAAGGTAAATAAATAATTAATTAAATTAAATAAATTAGTAAAGTTAATTGTACTTAAAACTAGTAAGAATATTATACATGCAGCAAAATGTGTTATTTATCTGAATAAAGTAAAACTACCTTAAATGCATTTTCTTTATACAGATGGTACCACTTAAATTGAATTTACTCAGTTTTCTTCCACAAAAGCAAATTATTATATTACCTGTCAAAACAGCTGACATAAGATAAAAAGCTATTA